TGGAGTATCCTCTCTTGTAGGGGATCGCATCATTGAGGATGCTGATCTCTACTTGTAGTTACACGCTGTAGCACTGGGTGGGATAGATTCAACCTGTGTAGGTTTCTGGGACAACAGGAGAGCGGAACAGGGTGTACGAGTCTAACCAGTGCTGCTGTGCAGGGGGATACCTGCACAGCCTACCAAAGCATTATCCTGCTTGGTCAGGTTGAGACCTTACGAAGAGCCTGGAAAGGAAAAAGATATGCGGATGTGAACCTGTAGAGTGCGTCGATATTCTGACATGTCTAAGCTTTACATCTCACATCTAATGATAATCAAAGGAAGTTTAGGGGGAGAAACTTCCGTGTTACGGACTTTTAGAATGATCAGGGAAAGAGTTAGTCAAAGAAAGAGTTAGCAAAGAAAGAGTTCGTCAGGGAAAGAGTTAGTCAAAGAAAGAGTTAGTCAGGGAAAGAGTTAGCAAAGAAACAGTTAGTCAGGGAAAGAGTTAGTCAAAGTTCGTCAGGGAAAGAGTTAGTCAAAGAAAGAGTTAGTCAGGGAAAGAGTTAGCAAAGAAACAGTTAGTCAGGGAAAGAGTTAGTCAAAGAAAGAGTTAGTGAGGGAAAGAGTTAGTCACAGAAAGAGTTAGCAAAGAAAGAGTTCGTCAGGGAAAGAGTTAGTCAAAGAAAAAGTTAGTCAAAGAAACAGTTAGTCAGGGAAAGAGTTAGTCAAAGAAAGAGTTAGTGAGGGAAAGAGTTAGTCAAAGAAAGAGTTAGTCAAAGAAACAGTTAGTCAGGGAAAGAGTTAGTCAAAGAAAGAGTTAGTGAGGGAAAGAGTTAGTCAAAGAAAGAGTTAGGGAAAGAGTTAGTCAAAGAAAGAGTTAGTCAAAGAAACAGTTAGTCAGGGAAAGAGTTAGTCAAAGAAAGAGTTAGTGAGGGAAAGAGTTAGTCAAAGAAAGAGTTAGCAAGGGAAAGAGTGAGTCACAGAAAGAGTTAGCAAGACAGAGTTCGTCAGGAAAGAGTTCTTCAAAGAAAGAGTTAGTCAAAGAAACATTTAGTCATGGAAGAGTAGTCAAAGAAAGAGTTAGCAAAGAAGAGTAGTCAAAGAAAGACAAAAGAAAGAGTTAGCAAAGAAGAGTTAGTGAGCGGAAAATTTGCAATAAACTTTTTCCTCACTGTATGGGATTTCAATTGGTGCTGTGGAGGTCGTGCCGATGGAGTTTGAAAGGAGCCGCAAACAAATGCGTTTTTGAGAATACAGATGCACGAAATCCTATGTTTTTTCCATACAAAAGTCCGTCCCCGAATCCCTCGATGATCGACCTCTGCGGTGCGAACGGGTGCGAGACGTCTCGTGTGTGGGCGGATCATGGTCGGATCGGTCTCGGATCATGGGTCGGATCATGGTCGGATCGGTTCCGCATTGTAAATGGGGTTTCAAGTGTTTTTCGTGCATGTGCGGTCGATAGAATTCCATTGTGATTTGCAACTGTAGGATCGTTCCCGCATTGTAAATGGGGTTGCAAGTGGTGCTGGTGGATGAGTTGCCGATGGAATTCCATTGTGATTTGCAACTCGTTCCCTCACTGAAAATGGGATTGCAAGTGGTGCTGGTGGAGGAGTTGCCGATGGAGTTTCGAAGGAAGTCTCGCACGAAATGCGTTTTTGAGAGATAGCAGATGCACGAAAGCCTATGTTTTTCCATACAACGTCCGTCCCCGAACCTCGATGATCTACCTCTGCGGTGCGACGGTTGCGAGACGGTCTCGCGTGTGGTCGGATCATGGTCGGATCATGGTCGGATTTGTTCCGCAATGTAAATGGGGTTTCAACTGTTTTTCGTGCATGTGCGGTCGACGGAATTCCATTGTGATTTGCAACTGTAGGATCGTTCCCGCAATGTAAATGGGATTGCAAGTGGTGCTGGTGGATGAGTTGCCGATGGAATTCCATTGTGATTTGCAACTCTAGGATCGTTCCCTCACTGTACATGGGATTGCAAGTGGTGCTGGTGGAGGAGTTGCCGATGGAGTTTTGGAGGAAGTCTCGCACGAAATGCGTTTTTGAGAGATAGCAGATGCACGAAACCCTATGTTTTTCCATACAAAGTCCGTCCCCGAACCTCGATGATCTACCTCTGCGGTGCGGCGGTTGCGAGACGGTCTCGTGTGTGGTCGGATCATGCTCGGATCCTGGTCGGATCGGTTCCGCATTGTAAATGGGGTTTCAAGTGTTTTTCGTGCATGTGCGGTCGACAGAATTCCATTGTGATTTGCAACTGTAGGATCGTTCCCGCAATGTAAATGGGATTGCAAGTGGTGCTGGTGGATGAGTTGCCGATGGAATTCCATTGTGATTTGGAAGTGTAGGATCGTTCCCTCACTGTAAATGGCATTGCAAGTGGTGCTGGTGGATGAGTTGCCGATGGAATTCCATTGTGCTTTGCAACTGTAGGATCGTTCCCGCAGTGTAAATGGGATTGCAAGTGTTGCTTCCTCTTTTGGCTGCATGCGTAATACTATTGTCTTTTGCAGCTGGACTTCGTAAATCGTATTGGAGTGGCTGCATGAAGGCTGCGACAATGATTTGTCAGCAGTTTTTGTCCATTTTGGCGCCAGTGATTTTCTTTTTAAAAATCCTTTTAAAAAATGTTTCAAAATCGTCTTTTTTTCGCTCTGGCGTCGAGATCCGGTTTTGGAGCTGCAATTTCCGACCCAGTTGCGCGAATTTCTATTGTGTTTTGCAATTCAGTCTCTGCAGATCGCATAGTAATGGCTGCGTCAAGGTTGCTTCTTGCCACGGCTGCATGCGTAATACTATTGTCTTTTGCAGCTGGACTTCGTAAATCGTATTGGAGTGGCTGCATGAAGGCTGCGACAGTGATTTGTCAGCAGATTTTCTTAATTTTCCTTTTAAAAATCCTTTTAAAAAGTGCTTCAAAATCTTTTTTTTTTCGCTTTGGCGTCGAGATCCGGTTTTGGAGCTGCAATTTCCGACCCAGTTGCGCGTAGTTCTATTGTGTTTTGCAACTCAGTCTTTGCAGATCGCATTGTAATGGCTGCGTCAAGGTTGCTTGGTGCCGCGGCTGCATGCGCAATACTATTGTCTTTTGCAACTGGACTTCGTAAATCGTATTGGAGTGGCTGCATGAAGGCTGCGACAGTGATTTGTCAGCAGATTTTCTCCATTTTGGCGCTAGTGATTTTCCTTCTAAAAATCCTGTTAAAAAGTGCTTCAAAATCGTCTTTTTTTCGCTCTGGCGTCGAGATCCGGTTTTGGAGCTACAATTTCCGACGCCGTTGCGCGTAGTTCTTTTGTGTTTTGCAACTCAGTCTCCGCAGATCGCATTGTAATGGCTGTGTCAAGGTTGCTTCATGCTGTGGCTGCATGCGTAATACTATTGTCTTTTGCAGCTGGACTTCGTAAATCGTATTGGAGTGGCTGCATGAAGGCTGCAACAGTGATTTGTCAGCAGATTTTCTCCATTTTGGCGCCAGTGATTTTCTTTTTAGAAATCCTTTTAAAAAGTGCTTCAAAATCGTCTTTTTTTTCGCTTTGGCGTCGAGATCCGGTTTTGGAGCTGCAATTTCCGACCCAGTTGCGCGTATTTCTATTGTGTTTCGCAACTCAGTCTCTGCAGATCGCATTGTGATGGCTGCGTCAAGGTTGCTTGGTGCTGCGGCTGCATGCGCAATACTATTGTCTTTTGCAGCTGGACTTCGTAAATCGTATTGGAGTGGGTGCATCAAGGGTTCGACAGTGATTAGTAGTAGTGCTGGGAATTGATTAATGAAAGCTCAATAGATGACATATGAGAAGGGACGAGATGAGAAGAGATGAGCTGGGATAAGGTGAGAAGAGCTCAGATGAGATGAAGTGTGGAGTGTGAAGAGTGCAGTGTGAAGTGTGGGGCGTGAAGAGTGCAGTGTGAAGTGTGAAGTGTGAAGTTTGGAGTGTGAAGGAAGCAGTGAGAAGTGAGAAGTGTGAAGTGTGGACTGTGAAGTGTGGAGTGTGAAGTTTGGAGTGCAAAGAGAGCAGTGTGAAGTGTGGAGTGTGAAGACTGCAGTGTGAAGTGTACAGTGTGAAGGAAGCAGTGGGAAGTGAGAAGTGTGAAGTGTGGAGTGTGAAGTTTAAGTTTGGAGTGCGAAGAGTGAGTGTGAAGTGTGAAGTGTGAGGTTTGGAGTGTGAAGGCAGCAGTGAGAAGTGAGAAGTGTGAAGTGTGGACTGTGAAGTGTGGAGTGTGAAGTGCGAAGTGGGAAGTGTGAAGTTTGGAGTGTGAAGGAAGCAGTGAGAAGTGTGAAGTGTGGACTGTGAAGTGTGAAGTGCGAAGTGAGAAGTGTGAAGTGTGAAGTTTGGAGTGTGAAGGAAGCAGTGAGAAGTGAGAAGTGTGAAGTGTGGACTGTGAAGCGGGAAGTGTGAAGTGTGTAGTGTGAAGTGCGAAGTGTGAAGTTTGGAGTGTGAAGTTTGGAGTGTGAAGGAAGCAGTGAGAAGTGAGAAGTGTGGACTGTGAAGCGGGAAGTGTGAAGTGTGGAGTGTGAAGTGCGAAGTGTGAAGTTTGGAGTGTGAAGTTTGGAGTGTGAAGGAAGCAGCAGTGAGAAGTGAGAAGTGTGAAGTGTGGACTGTGAAGTGTGAAGTGTGAAGTGTGGACTGTGAAGTGTGAAGTGTGAAGTGTGGAGTGTGAAGTGTGAAGTGTGAAGTGTGGAGTGTGAAGTGTGGACTGTGAAGTGTGGACTGTGAAGTGTGGACTGTGAAGTGTGAAGTTTCGAGTGCGAAGAGTGCAGTGTGAAGTGTGGAGTGCGAAGTGTGGAGTGTGAAGACTTTGCTTTGTCTCTCGCTGAAAAAAAAAGCCGCTTGTCGAGGGAAGGACACGGTCGGGACAGGCTGGCGTCGAACTATAGGTCATTTATTCTTGGGAAACTTCCGCCGCCGGCTTGCCCGGGTCTATGTTATGCATCCGAATAATCGCAAAGATTGTGCTATTGTGTGAATGGCACACTTTTCTCATGTAATCGTGAGCAGGCTCAGGCAGCTCAGGAAGGAGAAAGAGGCAATGAATTTGCTGAAGCAAGGGTTCCTTGTCAAAATGATTGACACCATTTGACAAGGACTCTGCACTCTGCAGTGATCGAGTGTGGGGTGATAAGCATGCTGCTTGTGCGGCCATTCAGTTCAACAGCTGAGGTTCCATTGGTGGACACCACCGTGTTCATTTTCGGCATGGGATTTGTAGTGACTTGAAAGAGTTGCGGAAGTCTTTCACTTTTCCACTACCACTGAGTCCTGGGCATGGAACTGCGTGAGTTGGCAAAGGCCGCTCCAGTTGAGGTGCTCGTAAATGCTGTGCTCATAGGCCCTGACTTGTCACTGCAGCACTCTTTCCTCTGACATCATCAGCACTTGATCAGCACTATGTCACCAGATGTCACTGGGTGTCACTGGATGTCACGGGAGGTATCGAGGTGGACTGGGGGAGAAACTCCCCAGTCTTTTTTATGGCACCTCGGATTCGTTTGGTGGGTGGCTATGAGTGGCTGCTTTTCCTTCGTGATTTTGATGAGCAGTGGGACGGGATCTGATTGTGGAACGAGTGATAGAAATTGAATGCATCAAAATGCAGTTGAATTTCTCAGGCAGCCAATCTATTCTTTTTGATTCTGTACTTAGCGGAGCTTTGCTTCAGGTGTGGATTGCATAGCTGAGACATTTCGCATAGCTCTGCATGTTTTAATCGTTTGTGGCTGCCTGGCCTTGCGGCTTTCTGCCCAGGTTCGTGACGTTTGGCTCCGGTGTCTTCCATGACTGGCTTACTGTCCTGGACAGGGGAAACTGTTCTGTTGGCCATTCAATCATGCTGTCTTATCTTGTGATCTTATGTCATGTCCTGGTAGATTCTGGGCGCTTGTGGTAGCTTATTACATCTGATCTTATTTGGTCTTATGATGCTTGTGTTGTGTTATCTCATGTATATAATCTCATACTCTCTGAATCATAATCCCATGTTCGCTGGCACTGCTGTGGGGCTAGGGCTCGCTTTAAGAGTGCACCTGCTTCCCTTTGATTGTATCGCCATTTTTGGCACCTGCACTTTCACTCCTCAAGGGGTACGCTTCGGCTCTGGGTGTGGGGAATGTTCACAGGCGTTTGTTGATAGCTTCCTAAACATAGCTTTGTTAGCACCTTCACTGTTCACCTCTGAACCATTGGTGGAGGCTATGCGATCATTCGAGGATTCTTTGACCCTATCCTTTGCATATTCTGATGTTGTCTTGTGTTTTCTTATTCGATCTCTTGCTAGCTTATCTCATCTTATCGAAAGATCATTCCTTAAATATAATCTCACCTCAACTTGACTAACATAATCTTATCTCACTTAAGATTTCTCTCTAATTGGTTGTGTGATTGCGTGTATATATATATATATGCATTATAAATTTGTGTTGTGGATATCCACAGTGATCTCCTAGTAGATGTACGGTCGGACGCATAGATGGATAGACAGATGGATGGATGCACAGATGGATTGACGGATAGACGGGTAGAACGATAATGATAGATACACACGTTTTTGTGTTGTTCAATCGTGTGTTTTGGCCTGATCCTCCGACCAGTGATCAGCAAAGCGTTCAAGTTGGCGCAGGTTAGCTGTTTGCAATGGTTTGAGCAAATCGAACCAGGACATGATCTTGGTGGTTTTGGTTTTCATTGAGCAGTTTGCCTTCCCAGGAAGCTTTGCAAGGTGCCTGATGACCACATCGCTTCGCTTTTCATCCCCTAGTAGAAAATCACGTTTACTACAGAATACGACCGAGAAAGCTCCTGGATTTTGTTCCCAGATTTGCTCGTCCAGGTCCTTGCCAGCCTTTCGCCTCATTCGTTTGTTGCGGTGGCCGGGTTGCAAGAGCTTGGGCTTGCAATGCCTTTCAGTTTTATCAGCTCACTGTTGCTGACACTACATTGCATAGATCATACATTTTGGTTGCAATGCTTGTACGAAGAGTGAGAGCCGGGAAGGCTCCTTGTCGTCATCGCTGTTTAATTATCACTTTGAACAGCTTTGAGCTGAGGTTACTGCGAACCTTGCGGTCTCTGAAGTCATCTCCCCAACTCATGGCTTTCGTTTCGAACGCAATGAGAATAATGAAGACTCTCGGAATCTTGGCGTTGCAACCCACGCATCCGGCTCTGTGCTTTGTGCGTGTCCACGCACGAAGTGTAAGTGCTCAACCAGTGCTAAACCATTTGCATGAACTGTGACGGTCCGTCAGGATGGGTGACGCTCTGTCTCTTCCTCTTGCTGTGGGCTGTGTCTGCAGTCATGTGACTTGGACGTGAAAAGAATGCAGGAAGTTGGGGGAGCAATGGAGAGCACATAATTTCCGTTGAGGGGTGCCTCAACCCAAGGCGCAATGTCATAGGCAGATCGGCCGAGTGGAACGACACATATGATCCGTGGCAGGAGAGATCTTGGCATAGATGGTATAGCTTGGCAGCTTTTTTTGTTTGGTGGAAGGCTGAAAGTATTGACTCTCCCATTGTATTGCTCCAATATTGGGAGATTTGGGAGGAATATGATCCCTTCGAAGCATTCAACAACCGCGAGTACTTCGGATCTGTGACGAAAAGTTTCTTCACGTTGCTTCAGGCTGGATTTTCTCATGGAATCTGGAAAGAGACACTTTCTTTGTGCTCCCTGCTCCCTATATATTTATATATATATATAGTATTTTTGAAATCTTATAAATGAACAAATAAATAAATAAATAAAATATATACATACAGTATATGTATAATACTATACATGTAATATGTGTGTGAAATTATCCAAATACTACTGCACAAGGCGGTGGCGGAAGTTTCAAAGATAGGAAACTACAGGAGAGGTGAGTTGTTGTGATGCATGGATAGCAGAGCGAATCCATGATGGACCGGAGGGTGGTTGGAGTTGTGTTTTTTGGAGTGGTTGCAGTGGTAGTGTAAGGTATTGCAGTTGTAGTTGCAGGTGTAGTTGCAGTTGCAGTTGCAGTTGTACCTGTAGTTGATGTAGTTGTAGTTGTAATGTTGTAGCTGTAGTGGTAGTGGTAGTTGGAGTTGCAGTGTGGTGTAAGGTGGTCGTGTAGTGTAGTGTAGTGTGGTGCAGTGTAGTGTAGGGTAGTGTGGTGCAGGGTAGTGTAGTGTAGTGGACATTTGCACTTGTAGTTGTAGTGGTAGTTGCAGTTGTAGTGTGGTGTAGTGTAGAAGTAGTGTAGTGTAGTGTAGTGTAGCGTGGTGAAGTGGAGTGTAGTGTAGTGAAGTTGTAATTGTAGTTGTAGCTGTAGTGTCGTGTCGTGTAGTAGTCGTATTTGTAGTTGTAGTTGGAGCTGTAGTGTAGTAGTGATAGTCGTGGCTGTAATTATTGCTGTTGTAGTTGTGGTAGTAGCTGCAGTTGTAGTAATAGCTGCTGTAGTAGTAGTAGTAGCAGTAGTAGTAGTAGTAGTCGTCGTCGTAGTCGTAGTCCTAGTCGTAGTCGTAGTCGTAGTGGTAGTGGTAGTAGTAGTAGTAGTAGCAGCAGTAGTAATAGTAGTGGTAGTGGTAGTGGTAGTGGTAGTGGTAGTGGTAGTGCTGGTGCTAGTGCTAGTGCTAGTGGTAGTGGTAGTGGTAGTGGTAGTGGTAGTGGTAGTGGTAGTAGTGGTAGTGGCAGTGGTAGTGGTAGACGTGGTGGTAGTGGTAGTGGTAGTAGTAACAGTAGCAGTAGCAGTAGCAGTAGCAGTAGCAGTGGCAGTAGCAGTAGCAGTAGCAGTAGCAGCAGCAGCAGCAGGAGTAGTAGTAGTAGTAGTACCAGTAGTACCAGTAGTACCAGTAGTAGTAGTAGTAGTACTAGTAGTACTAGTAGTACTAGTAGTACTAGTAGTACTAGTAGTACTAGTACTACTAGTACTACTAGTAGTAGTAGTAGTAGTAGTCGTAGTCGTAGTGGTGGTGGTGGTGGTGGTGGTAGTAGTAGTGGTAGTGGTAGTGGTAGTGGTAGTGGTAGTGGTAGTGGTAGTGGTAGTGGTAGACGTGGTAGTAGTAGTAGTCGTCGTCGTCGTCGTGGTTGTCGTCGTCGTCGTTGTCGTCGTCCTCGTCGTTGTCGTGGTGGTGGTGGTGGTAGTCGTAGTATTATCAGTAGCAGTAGCAGTAGGAGGAGTAGGAGTAGTAGTAGTAGTAGTAGAAGTAGTAGTAGTAGTACTACTACTGCTGCTGCTGCTGCTACTACTTCTGCTACTACTACTACTACCACCACCACCACCACTAATACTACCACTGCTACTACTACTGCTACTACTACTGCTACTACTACTACTACTCCTACTACTGCTACTGCTACTGCTACTGCTACTAGTAGTAGTAGTAGTAGTAGTAGACGACGTAGTAGTACTAGCAGTAGGAGCAGTAGTAGTAGTAGGAGTAGGAGTAGGAGTAGCAGTAGCAGTAGCAGTAGCAGTAGGAGGAGTAGGAGTGAGTAGGAGTGAGTAGGTAGGAGTAGGAGTAGGAGTAGGAGTAGGAGTAGCAGGAGTAGGAGTAGGAGTAGGAGTAGGAGTAGGAGTAGGAGTAGTA